ACTACCAATCATGCAAGGGATAGTAAAACTCCCTGGGTCTTTTCGCTTCTCTAGTAGTTTGTTCTGCAGGATGGCAGAACACTCCTCGTTGAGCATCACCGTTGACAGCTCCCCAAGCTTCCCCTTGTTGGTGAGGAGATCCTTCATGAACTTGGCATACTTGGGCATCTTCGATAATGCCTCCACGAAGGGCATGCTTATGTTTACCTGCTTCAGCATTGCCATGAATTTGGCAAACTCAGTCTCCAGTCGGTCCGTGTACAACCGAGTAGGAAAGGGAAGCTGTCGTACATACTCCTTCACCACTGGTTGCAGTTTAGGAGCAGGCACCTCAACCTCCTTCTCCATTTCCTCCTCATTAGCTGGAAGTGCTGAAGCAGGGGTCTCTCTCTCCTGTGCCCGCACAGGTGGATCAGCAGTCATCTTGCCACTCGTGGTAGTGATGGCCTTGCAGTGCTCATTTGGGTCCTGCGGATGAGGGATGGTCTGAACAGGTAAAGTACCAGGAGTCCTCTAAGCTACATCCTGGGCAACACTCCCAAGCTGGGTCTGTATATCCCGCAGCACAGCCTGTGTGTTTCTCTGACCAGCTTCTAGCTCCAAGAATTTACCTAAAGCTTTCTCCATGAAATGCTCGATGTTATTGAACTTGTTTGCACTAGAGGTGGCCAGAGAACCCACCAAATCTCTCAATTCCGCCATCGGGTCACTCTGTACTGGGGCTGCAGGTGCTGCCCCTGTTTGATGAAATGGTCGCACCTGTGACTGAGGTGGAACTGGACCCTGTCTAGGCGGGTAGAGAGGCTGCTGCGGCTGCTGAAATTGCCCTTGTCTGGGCTGGTAAGGAGGCCTCTAGAAGCCAGGTGGTCCCTGGGGGACTGGTGGTCTGGGATTTGCCCCAGGCCAAGAGAAGTTAGGATGATGGCGCCACCCCTCGTTGTAAGTGTTGCTGTAGGGTTCGAAGCGCCTGGCATTACTGATGAAGTCCACCTGCTCCTGGGGAGTAGACGACTCCCTCATCGCCTGACAGTCCTCCACAGTGTGATGGGAGCTCTCACACCACTGCAGTGCATCGCCTTGCGGCTGTCCTGTACCTGTAATCATTCCAGAGCAATCGATGGCTGAAACCAGCTTCGATACCACCTGCACCAAATCAGATGACTGGGTGGCTACAGCATGCACACCCCGCCCTGGTGTTGTTCTCGATCTCCTGGCAGTTCCCCAATCAAAGCCCTACTCTGCCATCTCTTCAAAAAGTTGATTCAGCTGTGGCTGTGTTTTGGTGAGCATATTCCCGCCACAGACCGAGTCAATCAGCTGCTTATCCTCCGGGAAGAGAGCATGGTAGAAGGTGCCCACCTTGAAGGCGTCAGTAAAACCATGGTTGGGACACTTGAGGAAGAGACTAGTGTATCTCTCCCAAGCATCCCGGATGGTCTCATCTTCATCTTGAGTGAAGTGGGTGATTTTCTTTTGCAGGTCCGCTGTCTTGGACGGGGGATGGTAGCGAGTGAGGAACTTGTCCGCCAGGTTGGCGAACGTAGTGATCGAGCCTGGAGGTCGAGTGTCTAGCAACTCCTTGGCCTGCCCCTCCAGAGTAAATGGGAAGTACCTCAGCTGGATGGCATCGGCTGGGACCCCATTTATCTTGATTCCATCGATCAGCTCATGGAATCGCCTCAGATGTGATCGGGGGCACTCCCCCTCCTTGCCACGGAACACCACCGAACCGCGCAACATCATGATGACCGAGGTGCTCACCTCAAAGTTGTTCGCTGGCACATGAGGGTGCTGAATGGGTGACCTCATGTCCGCGGCCTTGGCAGTCCAGTAGTATCCCATGGTCTGCTCCTCAGGAATGACCACATCATGGTCTTGTGGGTCGGCCATCTCTTCTTTGTCGGCGATTTGCAGCTGTGCTAGTGCCTCCTCCGCAGCCAGTCGCGCCTTTAGAGCCCGCTTGAAGTTCCTACAGGTCCGTTCAAGCTCCTAGTCTACAGGTCCGTTCAAGCTCCTAGTCTAAAGCAGTAAGAAAGCAGGAAATGGTTCGGTTTTCTGAAGTCAAGGAAGAGTCACTCGGGAATGAGTCCCCCTAGCTCCTTAGTTAGGTCTCAATTGTAATTACCCTGGGTTGATTTATTGTTGATTAAACTGCGGAAGATCCAACAGTAGCTTGGAATCTCTTAAGCTGACCAAGCCCTCTCAGTCAAACTACCCGGCAGACGACTAGTCTTCACCGGGATAGAAAGCTGAGGCTATGAACACAGAACTCCACTACTGGAATTGGATTCCAGTACAAAGCAGTAGATTGACTAACTCTCGTATAACCAATCCACGACTACCGAATGATGAAGCTCTAACAACCTAATCAGATTCTATCTATCTCAGGTTGCAGCAGAAATCAAGAAAAGCTGATCAGACTTCAATTAATTCAATGAATCATGCATCATTCGATTATAATCAAACAGTATAACAATCCCAAGTCATTACAATCAAGATCCCTAACACATGGAACTAGGGTTCTTCATACCCAAGTGAGAGAGAGTTCTACTCCATAGTGAGAGAGAGAAAAACAGAATACAAAGCAGTCATACTCATAACAATGGGAAGAATCTGCTCTGGGATGATGATTTTCACTCCTATGATGATCTCCAAGCTTGATTTGATGAAACCCAGCTCCAAAACCACTCTTAGGATGAGTTCTTTGCACTTTCTCTCTCTAGGGCTCTATTTTTGCTCCAAAAGGTCGATTCTCTCTCCTTTTGCTCGAAATTGGGTTAAAACCCAGATTTTCCCGACCACACGGGCAGGCCACACGGCCGTGTGGCTTACCCAGCTACCCGTGTGAGTGCCAAAACGCGGCGTTTCTAATAATTGGACTTCAGGCTTCCTACACGGCCAGGTACACACGGCCGTGTGGAATTCCCAGGGTGACCGTGTGAAGCCTCGCTAAATCCCACACGGCCACATGGGTGACTTGCACGGCCGTGTGGGTTTTAGCAGTGCCCGTGTGACTTCCTCAACGCCTCGCCACACGTCCGATCTTCGTCCAATCGACCCCGAACTCGCTCCCAAACCTTCATTCACGTACTAGGACCTGAAATATCACAAACAAGAACAACCTAGCGTGAAATCGGCCTAAAACACGAGAATCAACATCTCAAACGGTGTAAGAATAGAGGTAAAAACATGTGCAATTAACGGTCTATCATCTACTCTCTGGTCTCGGCTTCTTATTGTGTTTTGTTTCTCAATTGCTATCTCTATTGTGTTTCTCAGCTGCTTCAGTGCTTCTTGTGGTATTAGGGTTGCTTGCCTGCTAGTCTTCTTTCGTGGGGTTCTTATGTTACGGTTGTTTTCCCAACTCGTTCTTTTTTTGCTACGGTTGTATTCCCAGCTTGGTGGCTTCAGTCCAGGTCTGTTCCTTCGCTTTGTTATGCCATTGTGAAGGCTCGTGTGCTGTTTTTTTATTATGTTCCTTGATCATCATGGATCCTACGAAGCATAATGTTGCGTTGATTAGGTTTGATGGGAAGAACTTCCCTTTGTGAGAGTTTCAGTTTCAGACAGTTGTTCAGGGGAAGGGTACTCTCCTGTTGCTTACTGGTAATAAGAAGCCTAAGCCTCCAGATACAGATGATAAGGGGTTGGCTGATTGGGAGGCTGAGAATACACAGGTCATTTCTATGCTCCTTGCGCCGTTGGCTGTACCCACAGGTTTAACTCTTAGTCGATTTGAGCTGGCTAGTGATATGTGGAAGCACCTTGTTACTACGAACTGTCAGGCGAGGACATCTCGACAGTTTGAGTTTGAGTTGGCCTTGTCTGCTTCGTTGGTCCAAACATGTATGAATGGACAAGCTTTAGAGGCATTTTAGACTTGAACTTTGAGTCTTCATAGGGTAGTTGATGTGCTTTCCCATATTGGCATCCAGCACATGCGATATCGTCATGGATATCAAGTTGAGGAAGTCCTTTGAGCAAGGACTTCTTCATCATCACCCTAAGCTTCTGATAGCCAACGTGTCCAAGACGAGCATGTCATAAGCTTGCCGTCTCATTCCTTCTTGTTTTGTCAACATAAGCAGCTCTGCTGACATTACATAGACAGACTCCAGCTTCTACCCTTGCATGATCGGATCAGAAGTTGATTGTAAGCTTCGATACACCTTCACATCTCTCGAACCCAATACCACATAATTGCCAGATGCGGTCAGTTGTGATACTAACATCAGATTCTTTCGCATTCCAGGGGACGTGGTAAACGTTTGACAGCTCCACTTGTTGGCAAGAAGTAATAAGTGTCTCGTCGATGTGGGTGATTGGCAGCTTAGAGTTGTTGGCGCCTTGGCAGTGACAACCACTCGTCCACCGTTGTACTCGGACACATTTAACAGCTTATGTTCATCATCAGACACATTGAACATCCCAAATCCACAATCCAATCATTTTCACAATAAATGACATTCTTGTCCACTAACATAAGAGCTAACTCTTCAGTGGCGCCTTTTGGAGCTTCCGTTGCAAAGGATGCTTGGAAGTCCCATTCATCATCATTCACCTTGGAAGAAGTTGCAGTGTTTCGTTCTTCCTTTTTGTGCCAGCAATCTCAGGCTAGATGACCCTTCTTGTGGCAAATGTAGCAATTGCCATTTTCTTGATCATGCTCCTTCATGTCCTTTCCGTCACCACCTTTGTTACGGTTGTCAAGAACTAGTTGATCCCAATAACTCGAGTTGTTGGGAGAAGGTTATGTTGGATCTTATACAAGACCATGTATGGTACTTAACCACTTCCTTAAACGCCCCCTCAAACGAAAGCCGACTCATGGGCTTGAAGTTTGCACAGGCACGCCATACCATGTGCTTGAAAGACAAAGGTTAATATTGGGGGTCGTGAGGACTTGAACACGTGACCTCACGGACAAACCAGCTCTGAAACCATGTAACAACCAGTTAGTCCCAATAACTTGAGTTGTTGGGAGAAGGTTATGTTGGATCTTAAACAGGCCCACGTATGGTACTTAACCACTTTTTACAACGATGGTTGTAACTTTTCTGGGCTCCCCCTTGGTAGTTGCCTCCTTTATTGTTCCACTTTTGGTTCTTCTTGAACCCCTTTTGGTCGCTTATGGATGCAAGAGCCTTCTCTCCACCATTAGAGTCTTTACTTTTGTTGAGCAGCGCCTTCTCCTCTTCCTTGGTTGATGCCTTTGACATCTTGTCATCGAGAATTTCTTCATTTGCTAGAAGATTCTCCAATTCAACCAGGGTTGGCTCCTTTGACCACCCACTTGTTGCTGTCACTACGCGCTTGAACTCCTGTCTCAAGCCACGAATGATGATTCTTCTTGTCAGAGCTTCCGAAATTGGATTTTCAGGATCCAGTTTTGAAATTTCGGCACAGACATTTTTTACTTTGTTGAAATATTGACCAATTGTCAATGTTTCTTGGGATAGTGACATCAACTCATTCTCCAGTCACTGGAGTCTCGCCTCATTGGTCCTGGCAAAAATAGTGGAGATAGTATCCCAAGCTTCCTTCGGGGATTTGCTTTCCTTGATGCGAGGCAGGAATCGGTCTTCTGTTGTGACTGCAAGGATGTACATGATCTTGTCTGCTTTTTGCTTCCAGTCCTCCAACAACTTCTCATCTTTGGGTGGTGGGATGGTGATAATTTCCGAGAGCTTTTGGCCTCTGAGATAAAACTCCATACGGGTGCTCCAACTTGAGTAGTTGGTCTCGTTCAATTTCTGCATAGCGGTAACTGAGAAACCCTCCATCTTCTTACTTGGAAACTTCTCCAAGTTCTCTATTTCAATCTTACTAAAATAACTGTAGCCTATGAACGCCTGATGAGGATCTCGGCACTACTGGCTCTCGGTTGAACCAATTCTAATAAAAATGCACAAGGAACCCTTTTCTGATGTGGAAGATCGGCCTATACCGCAACCACAGAGCATACGAGGAATAACCTTGGCAATGATAACAAAGCACAAGGAACCCTTTTCTGATGTGGAAGATCGGCTTATACCGTAACCACAAAGCATACGAGTAGTACCCTTGGCTCTGATACCACTTGTAGAAAAAATTGGATCGAAATGCTCACAAACTCTCTAAGTTTTTCACAATCCCACAACTCACAATTGCTCAAACTCTCTCGTCTTTCTTTCTTCTTTTTGTTTTTCTTTGCTTGGGATGAAGAAACCATACACATACCATGGCTATTTATAGCCAAGTTCCAACACTAAATTGTGGCTTATACTTTGCCACACTTAACTATTACTTCACACCTACTTAACCCCATAAATATTTACCCATTTGTGATTCTTCTTATTTTTCTTTTCTTAATCCATAACTACCAACATTAATACATTCTCTAGACAATTCCATACCCTTCACAACTATAGCTAGTTGTGATATTTTAGCTACACATTTTTTATTTATTAAACTTTATATTCTTTCACATCCCCTTTGTTTGCTTATTGGATCCCAATCTTGATGTAGTGGTCTCTCAAAACTGCCTGACCCTTTTCCCTTTTCCCCCTTTTCACTTCGTCAATTTCTGTTTCGCTTTGAGGTTCCCTTTATGCTCGGGTATTATGTTATAAAAAATTCGAATTTGGATGGAAGGATGTCGGAGCTTGCAATGGTGACTGGGTAAGATGAAATTGATGGGAGCGCCACAAAAACTATTCGATTTACCGTGCTTGGTCGCTTATCGAATTAGGTCTTGGTTTGGGGTTTACTTTCTGCGTGACTTCTCTGCTTTTAGAAGGCGTCAGTCAACTACAGTTTTTCTTGTTTATGTTGTGCTGGTGTTAATGTCAGATATTTCCCATAAAGTTCAATTTGATTGTTGTTAATGGTTCCTGCTTTCTTTGCGAAGTTTAGGGTCCCAGTGACAGGTGGGTTTCTGTCACTGAGTTTCATCGAGGTAAACACCGGCCTCTGCGACAGGTTGGTTTCACTCCTGCTATACATGATCAAGCTATAGCCTATAGCTGTGAAGTTTTGGATAGGATCAGAGTTTAATGGAAGAACCCGCAAGGAGCTCATTTGCCTCATGGGCAGTTTACATACAAAGCCAGAGAAATCTTCATGTACAAGGGGTCTAGTCAGTTTAATTACAACGGTAAAATAAACTAACTGTCCTATAACTACAATGACTTTGGTCTGACGGGCAGAACCAATCCTCCTCTGGTTGAATAGGTCCTGGATATCACATAATTTGGATTTAAAAGTAAGTGACACTGGTAGAGTTCTGGTAAGTCGACTAACAAAGACTAGGTTGAAGGAGAAGGCTGGCACAAATAAAACCTCATGAAGAACAAGGCTATTAGAAAGTGAAATAGTTCCAGAATGTGTGGCATGTGACTTGGAACCATCATGAAAGGTTATGAACACGTTTTTTATGGGTTTATAAGTATCAAACAAGGCTAATGAACAAAAATTGCCTTTCGTTGATTGATAAAAGGGTTAATACCTTGTTATGGCCTGAACTATGACCATGTAATCAACTTTGGTCAGTGGTGTGAGAAATTAACATCCTGGCCCGATCTATGGAACATATAGACAAAATTGGCCTGGAGCGTGGTTTGGCCGTTTGTTTGGACGGTCAACACCGTTGACTGTTAGTCAACTGTCCATATCACTGGCATGTCAACATAAAAAATTACAATTTCATTTTTCTTTTTATTTCATTTACAAAATTGAATAATTAAAAAAAAAACAAAAAATTCTGGCCCACCCATCCCCACCTTATCCCCTCACCTTCTTTCCTTTTCGATCAATCCCTATTCCATCTTCTTCCTCCTTCTTCCCCGACGAGACGCCGCCTCCATTCCCTCCGACTTCAAATGCAGCGGCGGCCGGTCGTTTAAAGACGACGCCGCCGCCGTCGCACTCTTTCAACATAACCCAAACATGAGCATCCATCCCCCTCGCCTTCTTTCGTTATCGATCTGCTCCCCAAAAAAACCCTAACGACCCTTCTTCTTCCTCCTTCTTCCCCGACAACCCGCCGCCTCCATTCTCTCCGTTTCAAATGCAGCGGCGGCCGGACGTTTAAAGACGACGCCGCCGCCGTCGCACTTTTTCATCATAACCCAAACACGAGCACCCATCCCCCTCGCCTTCTTTCGTTATCGATCTCCTTCCCAAAAAAACCCTAACGACCCTTCTTCTTCCTCCTTCTTCCCCGAAAACCCTCACCCGTTCCTCGCACGCTCTGTCCAAGCCTTCCCCACCCAAGACCAAGCCTTCCCCACCCATTTCGCTCTGTCCATTTCTTTGTAGGCCAACCCTTCCCCACCCATCGCTATTTTCAGTAAAAGGCGAAGAAAGTGAGGTTCCAGGGACACCACCTGTAGCAAGGGACCACTTCGACAAAATCTTGGTTGTTATTCAGCTAAGGTAAGCAATCACTATCCCACATAATAATATTCTAAATACTTCCAAGAAATCGGTTTTGGTCATATGTGGATTGATGCATAGTGGACATTAAACAATAATAGTTGATTTGTCTTTGTCGGCTTAGTGAATTTAGCGATTTTTCTTTGTCGACTTAGTGAAGTTTGCTTAGAAAAGTGTGTTTTCGATTTATTTATGTGCAGAATGGAAGACCCGATTGAGCTCATTTTATGTCATGGAGGATTTATGGACATGACAGGGGCTGTTCCAAAGTACGTTGGAGGTTATGAAGCTGTGGTGAACATGGTTGTCGATGTATTTTCCTATTTCGAGTTAACAAAGAATCTATTTGAAGATTTAGAGTATGTCTCCGTGGAAAGGCTTTGGTACTTGACTCCGGGTAAAAGTATGGCCACTGGATTGCACGAAATTCATTCAGACGCGGAGGTTATGAATGGATTACTCCCATGTGTAGCTAAAGGACAGGTGAGGGTCTACTTTGAAGCAACAAAAGACTTGGGTGATGATGGATTTATGGGTGACAACTACGGCCATGAGCATGATGGTTCTGATGAGGATGGTGAAAACTCGGCTGTACCTGAATTTGTTCGAGTAGGGGAAGAAGATGATGCCCAAACATCTGATGAAGAGTACCATGAAATCAGGCAGAAGGTTCGAAACATGAGACAGAATTATAGAGCTCAGATTCAGGAGTCGGGTGAGGAGGTTGATCAAGTGGTATTGGAGGAGGATGAGGAGCAGAATGTGGGCAGTGAGAATGGAGGGCAGAATGTGAGTGGAAGTGAGGAGCAGAATGTGGGCAGTGGAAATGGAGGCAATCAACCATCAGAAGCTGGTGAAGATGATGCAAATAGTGGGGGATCAATGGAAACTAGGTATAGGGGATCAGAGGAGTCTGCTCACGTTAGAGGCAACATTGGTGAACAAGATAATGTCGCCAAGTTCAACAAAGCCTTGCTTTATGATCCTAAGTGCGATCATAAAGCATTGAAGTTTGTCACTTGTATGCGCTTTAAATCCCCTGAGCAGTTTAAGGCAGCTGTAATGAGGCAATCCATTGAGATTGGTGCTGATATCAGATGGGTAAGGAGCAGTGACTTTAGGAAGGAGGCTGTGTGTGCGCAAAGGAAAGAATTCCGTTGTGGGTGGAGGGTATATGCAAGTTGGTTTCGTAAGCACGAAGCATTTATGGTTAAAGGAGTTGGACCAGATCACAGTTGCCCTCATTCACTTCACATTCGGGCAGCAGGTCAGAGGTGGATAGCAGAAGAATTTATCGAGAAATTTAGAGAAAATCAGGGTTGGGATGTAGGCCTAATAGCTGCTGAAATTAAGCGGAAGTACAATTTGGTTGTGTCAAACCAAACCTGCTACCGACTAGGCTAGAAGCGCGTCGCATGTTATATGGATCACTTGAAGAAGATTTTGCTCAGATTAGATCATATATAGGACATCTTTTGAAAGTTGACCCGCAAGGTTCCTTCCTCCTCGAGGTGGATGTAGATCCGGGTTGTGACAAGGTGTTCTTCACGAGGCTCTATATTGGCTTCTCCAGTTTGAGCAAAGGATTCTTGGCAGGATGTAGGCCCTTCTTCTGCCTCGATGGTTGTTTTTTAGAGGGGGAGGTTCAAGGAATGCTTCTGTCTGCAGTTGGTAAGGATGGGAACAATCACATGTTCCCAATTGCATGGGCAATACTGGAGTCTGAGAACAAATCCTCTTGGATTTGGTTCGTAAATGCATTGCAAAATCAACTTGGGACTGCTGATGGTAGTGGGTTTACTATTGTCTCAGACCAACAGAAGGTAACTACTTTACTTTTTATTCTCTATTTGAAAACCTAAATTTAAATCAGAAACTTCTCCTAACTTTGACAATTTAACACAGGGGCTTGTAGAGGCTCTACATGCCTGCTTGCCAAATGCAGAACAACGGAAATGTGCTCGGCATGTTCATGCTCAATTTCGAGAGAAGCATAAGATGGCAGCAGCTACTGATTTGTTTTGGGAAGCTGTCTACTCTCTCAATAACT